TTCATAATACAACAGGAAGCAAAGTGGCAGTCTTATGTACACCTTCTTGACAGTGGGATATTTGAGTGTTAGACAGATAAATGGCAGAGTTTCTGAAGGGCATGTAGATGGCATGTTAAATTGTCTGCCTGCTGGCTATCACACATGTATGGATAGCTTTGCAGATAGTCTGGAGGGGTGGGGAACTCAGTGGTTGTAGTCCGTGGTGGTACCAATGATATGAGGAGAATGAGGTTGTGAGATCCTGGAATCCAGATTTGCTTGTTACTTAGTTGAAATACAGGATGTTGTTTTTCCAAGGAAGACATCTGTTTCTATGCACAGGACCAGCTAGATAGGTGCAACTGAGAAGCTGATGCATTGATGAGCTAGCAATCCAGGGAGGAGGGATCCAGACTAGTTAGGTAAGGCACTGTGGAATATTTTGTGACAAACCAGGCCTGTACAAGGGACATGGGCTCTGTTTAAACAAGAATGGAGCCACTGTGCTGGAGCAAAACATAAATATGGCAGAACAGCTTTTTAGCTGAACCCTGGGGTAAGGCTGACAGGAGATGGGAAACATCCAGTTTGGGTTGAATCATCCCTAGAGGATGAAGATGGAAAAGTTTCTGTTTGCCAAAATGTAGAAGGGAAGGAAAAAGCCCTAAGCATATGATGGAACAGGATAAACAATCAAAGAGGCCTAAGGGCAAAACCAGAAGTTGCATATGCCAAAGAAGAAGCACATATGGGTGTTGTAAATACTGCTAGACATCCAAGCCAAATAGGAGACTGAGGGTGCCTCATTTTAAAGGCACACCTAGATAGAGTGGGTATTATGGAATCCTGGTGGGAGGAGAGAACCCATGGGACACAGTCATTTCTGGATATAAACCCTATAGGAAGGACCAGAAGAGGTACACCAGAGGAGGTCTTGCTTTGTCCATCAAGGGGGGCATAGTGTCCTGCAAACTCAAAAACTTAAAGGGGCAAACTTCTCCACCGAAGCACTTTGGGGACAATCCCTGCCTCCAAAATTAATTTAGTAATTGGAACACGGTATCGGTCCCATGAATGTTCAGCGTGATCATGATACAGAAAATAGATTCAGGGAAGCCTCCAAATGAGGTGGTGTTGTAATAATAGGTGAATTCAACTGCCCAAATCAGGACTAGACTGCATGTTCCAGTTCTGACAAAGAGCTTAAATTTATCAATGCCCTAAACAACCGCGCATTTAGTCAAACAGTTGGTCATGGAATATATCAGAGGGGAGGCAATCCTGGATTTGATCCTAAACAAAATTTAACAGGACCCAGGATGAGACGTAAATGTTGTTGAACCAACTGGAAACAGTAACCACAGTGTGATCAGATTTAATAGATGTTTAAGTGGAAGAGTGAGTGCCGAAGAGGTCCAACATAGTCATATGTGGCCGCCAATGAGAAAGCTTCTCTGAAATGAGGTAACTGGTAAAAAAAGGAGTTGAAAGGGGCAGTGAAGCGGGTCAAATTCCTTCTAAAAGCTTGGAGATTATGCAAAACCACAACAATAGAAGTTCAATAGCATGTATACCACAAAGTAGGAAATGTAGCACCCAGTCCAAGAGGTCACTAATATGGTTAATGAGCAGTGTCAAGGAAGCTATTAGAGAGAAGTCAGCCTTCAGAAAATGGAAGTCTTGTCTAACTGAAACAAACATGAGCACAAACTTCCACAAGGGAGATGTAAGCAGAGCAAAAGTAAGTATTTTGAAGAGCACGTCACTAACAATGCCAAGGCTAAAAATAAAATACTCTTTAAATATATGAAAAGCATTTGGGCCATTGGATGACACTGGCAAGACTGAAAAGGCACTGCAAGAAAGCTGAATGGATTGTTTTAATCCATCTTTACTGAAGATACTTGTGCCTGAGCTGGTGTTTACAGGAAAGGAGTCTGAGGAATTAAGACAAATAGCAATGAAAAGATTTGACATTCTCTGCTGTGTTGACAAAGTGAAAATTAATAAATCTTAAAGAGCTCAAATATAAAATTACTGACCTTCTTACAAAAATATGCAGCGTGTCTTAATATCAGCCTCTGTACCAAAGGAATGGAAAGTGGTAATCAGTTTTTATCAATGGGTGCAGGAAATCACAGACCATATAGTTTAATGCCTGTTCTGGGTAAATTGATTGGAAGCAGTATTACATACAAAATTCGTAAGCATATAGGTGGACAAGCTCTGCCGAGAAAGAATCAACATGGCTTTCACAATGCTAAGTCCTGTCTCACTAACTTTTTAGAGTTCTTTTGAGAGTGTCAGTAAGCATGTGGACATTGTTTTCTTGCACATCCCAAAGGCTTTTGACAGAGTTGCTCACCAAAGACTCCTCAGCAAACTTGGCAGTCACTGGTAAGATAGGAGGACCCCTGAAAGGAGAAAGTAGGAATAAATGGAAAATTCTTCCAATATAGTGGGATCCCACAGGGATCTATTTTGGGACCCATGCTTTTAAATTCATTTATAAATGCTCTAGAATTAGAAGGGAGCAGTGAAGTGGTCAAGGTTGCTGAAGACCAAATTATTTAAGATAATTAAAAAAAATAAAGATGTGTCCCCAAGGGATCTCCCCAAACTGGGGGAACAACCATCAAAATAGCAAATGCAGTTTATTGTAAGCAAGGGTAAAGTAATGCATGTTGAGGCCAACACTCCCAACTTGAAGTATAACCTGTTAGGAACTGAACAAAAGGTGACTGACTGAGATCTCGAGGTTGTAGTGGACAGTTCAATGAGAACAACTGCTTCAGATGATAGAATGAGCCGTGGGTGCTGCTGTTTATATACTGTGCCCATCACTCATTCTGTGAAAAGGAAGAAGAGACTAAAACGTGTATCTCTGATCTCTCAGACCACTTATAACAGTCCCATTTGTGCTGTGGTGAATATTCTACTATAAATGCAAAACACTGGCACAGTCATCCACCATTGTCCACGGCCATTGTACAGCAAACTGCATACATAATGGAACGGCCATTAGGAAAACACTTAATTCAACGCAACTTAAGTTTGATCTCTCCGTAAGTGAGAGATGACAATTTATGGTGAAAACTCTACATTCTCAACTGCTGCTTCCTTTCAACAGTGATTTACTCCAGAGAATTCTGAATGTAAAAAATCAATCTTGAACACTTCTTAACATCCATTCTTACCTGTGGGACATGCATTGATTTTTCTGCATTTGCTTTCTACCACACACTATTTTTATGTGAAAATCACTTTACAAAGCATTTTGACAATTACATTTATGAAAAAAGACCTGTCTAAATAATTTCCCCCATTCTTCCTCCTGCTGCTGTCCAGCTAGTTGGAACTTGATGCATTATACTGACAGTCAACCTGAGTGCTGCCCACGACTTCTGTTGCCATTAGAGGCAATAACTGCAACATTAAGAGCCTTCCATTCCACAATCCACATTCGCTCTTTCATGTTTGGACACAAGCATTTAGGAGCATCTGAAAGACACAGCTTCTCGATCTGTGTTGCTGTTTGAGTACTTCGATGTGTTATGGCTTTTAATGTTCTTATTTGTTTTAGTTTAATGATGTTATTTTATAAACCTGAGCACCAAATGGATGGCTTTTTGATATATAAGAGAGTATACAAGTGTTCCTACTATACAATATAGTAGGAACAGCAGCTGTGTGTCTCTTTCTGCCCATCTATATGTCAGCACTATGGTTCCAAGATGGTGAAAAGGACACACTTGAAACATGGCCTAAGAATTGGGGCAAAACTCAATAGAATCCACTCCTCCAGAATTCACAGGCTTCCTCTTGTGCTTGCCTTGTCTTAGAAAGTGAGCCAAGCAGAGAGGAAGGTCATGAATGCTCATGTAGCACCAAAGACGGACGCTCCTTGTACAGAGCGTGGGGCTTTGATTCCTGAAGGGTGCCCTGTGCATGTTGGGAGTGCTCACCAGGAACTCAGACTCCGGGCCACAACAAAATGGACCAAAGTCCACATAGCTGAACACTGACAGGCATCTGATAGATTCCTACCCCCAAATGGACTCCTGACATATCCCGAGGTCACTATGGCTGAATTCTCATCACAACAAGCAACCCTGCCCTCTGCCCCTCGCACCCCGCTTTTTTTTACCTGGATGTGCCTGACAGACAATTCAGCAGTTTTTGCTCGGGATTCAGACTGAGTTTATGAAGCCCGTGAGAAAATGGTGGCTCTTTTGAGCAAGCCCTCCGCTGTCAATCCGTCATGGCCATGCTGCTGATCTGATACCCTCTCCCATACCCCAACACTCAGGACACTGTTGCAATAGCGTTCCTTGATGCTCCAACAGGAAATAAAATGAGAGAGAGAAGTGTTTGTTTGGAAGAAGTCACTCCGCTTTGTCACAACCATGACTACCGTGGCAATGTGTGAAATGGTTGGGAGGAGGTGCCATTGTCCATCCTGAATCGGATTAAAATCTGAGAAGGACTCGGGCAGCCGTAAGACTCCCCTTACAGTGAGGGTGAAGAATATGAGTTTCTGTGCCCTCTGAGTCCAATACTTTGGGGCTTCTAGCCTACTGCTCTGTAGATATTCAAAAGGCCGGTAGGTAATATACAGGTATAAATACACTGCATACAAGACCTCAATATCACACTCAAGCTTGGCAGGTTTGCTGCGTATATTCTGGTATTCTTTTTACATGATTGCCAGTAGATGGAAGTTTGGTGATTAAATTAATAAAGTTTGCATCAAAATGCAGGTCACTGTGCACTACTTCTCTTTATATATATGCTACTAAGGCTCATAAAGGAAATCATGAACCTACAATGTGGGTTAGAATAAAACTATCTCATTGTGACATTTATATTATTCAATTTAATCAACTATTTGAAGAATTGTTTAGAAGGTAAAGTGGTGCTTTTTGTTTAGTTTTTCAATTTTATCATGTTTAGGTTTTGTTTAAAGTTTTCACTTAAGCAAAGGTTGCAAAAGTGAGATTATTTTTATTTCTCTTCAGAAAGTGACAACTCAGAGTCAAGCCAAGGTGTCAAGCAGTAGCACAGAAACCAGAGTAGATGAAGCAACTTCAAGAGCAACTCAGCTGGAAGCCTTTCAGTCAGAAAAGGTACCTGCATCTCTTGATAACCATTCTGTCACTAAGCAACAACAGTGCAGCATCCGAGACTCCATTTTGTCATGCGGTTCTTGCCCGGTTGTGCTGATGGCAGCCAGTCTGGTTTGGTGCCACATGCTCTAAGCATGGCGACTGGGAACAGAATGTGCTTGGCTCATCATGTGGTGACTCTCAGGCAAACTTGAATTTGAAGATGGGGATTCACATTGGTAGCATGGCCGCATGTCCTACTGTACAGAACACAGGTCTCTGTTTGAGGGTACCTCTGCTTGAAGGGCTGCACAGTCCAAATCCACTTTAAAGGCAAAGAGCCATAAGATGGCAGGGCAATCTTCAAGCTGCTCTCACTTGGGACTACAGTACCTCCGGTCCACACTGCTCACTTTCCTTATGTAGACCACCTTCTTGGCCTGGCAGCTGGCCTGCAGGATTCAGCATGAACAGGGCTCTTCTATTCCACTCTCCCAGACATCGTAGCTCAACTGCACTCACCTTGGCATTGGTGGTGGCGGGGCCAACCTGTAGGGCCAACCCCTGTGGAGTGCCAGCTGATATGAAGCTTCCCCAACCCACAGATGCTGTGACCAGGGGGCAGTGCTGCCTGTGAGGACATCCTTTCCAAGCTGTGATGCCTCCTCACAGGTGTACTGTGGGGAAGTTATTGGCAGCTCAAGCACAGCAGTGGAAGATTAGAGGGCCCTCTGAATACATGGGCCATCAGCAGCCACCCAGCAGTGTCAGCCCAGGCACTTCCCCATTATTACATGTTATGGCCATCGCAGGTATGAAGTAACCCGCTTGTGAACAGCCTTCCCCTTCACCCACACAAATGCCCTATAATTATGGCTATATTGCATTATACCCCACCTTTCTTCCTCTTTCAAGATCTCTCTATTTAATCCCCACAATAATAACACCATGAGGTAGGCTAGGCTGAGATTTCATGACTGGCCCAAAGTTGCCCAGGGAGCTTCATGCCCCAGCAGGAACCAGAGCCTTGATCTCCCAGTCCCAGCCCAGTCCTCTAACTGCTTCATTAACACAAGAAATGTTGGCATGATCAACCTGAGGGGTAACCAGAAGAGTTGGAAATGACCAGAAGAGTTTCTATCATTGTGTGACTAAAGTCCAGGTTCTTCTCTCTCCCGCTAGTTCGTATTAATGTTTGTGGCTACCAAATACGGCTCCCCACATGTGTGCATGTCTGAACTGAACTGAAGTGCTTCACCTAAATTTATGCAGAACCTCTCAAGCATCTACTGTTCACTACTTTATCCTAAAAGTTATCCTAAAATCTGCTCTGTAAATTTGGGCAGTGTTACTGTCTCAACATTATGCTATTTTTGGACATTACAAAATATAAAATAGCAGTGCTCAGACTGTGGCAAGAATGGGAGGGGGCCTTAATGGGACCCAGAGATGCCTGACTCCTGGCTTTCCTGATACAAACCAATCCATGCAAATGTGTAGCCCTGTAAAACCAATAGCTAGAAAGTAAGAGGGTTGATCCGCACTGGCCCCTTCGAACACACCAGTATTATTTATTGTGACTTGTTTGAGAATAGCAAAAGATAGATGGTTTAAATAAATTCATACATTTCAAGTGATGAGTTGGAGGACTAAGTGAAATCCAGCATGATCCTAGACATGCCATCCTGAAAGTCCTGGTTCAGTGGGGCATGGCCCCAGGAAAGGGATTCTAGCCAGAGTCTTACCTGGCTGCAACTTGTGAATTTGTGGCAGGGTAAAATTAAATCAGCTGAATTCTTTCTCACAGGGAACTATGGAATTCCAGCTCTGCTTGGGGTAGAGATTAGACCTTTCTTCTAATAAAGACTTACTTCTTGGTGCTCCAGATTCACCCCCCCCCAAAAAAAAACAAAAACAAAAAACAAACCAGGATAGATCACATTAAATGGTTGATTTTTACTTGAAATTTCAATTGTTTTGGCAGGTTTCTCATCATGAACAAACTTCCCTTGAGGCTAGGAAGGCCTCTAATGTCACTCAAAGCATTGATGGAAAAGGTAAGAGGAGCAGAAAAATATAGCAGAAGACAAGTGTTTCAGACAGCATATTCTCTTGTAGATACCTCGATAAAAGGCACAATCCACCAGAAGTGAAGCATTGTGTAAGAAGTTCTTCTCATTGTAACTGGAAAGCTAAGCAGCCACTTAAATACAGTGCCTTCAAAACAGTGGGACTTCGCTTTGGATGGATCATGTCCATCAAGACTGAAATGCAGTGAACATTGTTTCATCCAGTATTGACTATCTTGGTATTTTTGGACAGAACAACTAGGCAGAATTTCATAACGGCTCAGGGTCACCAAGCCATCGAGCTGTTCCACCAGCTCTAGCCCGAGAGGTGCAGTGACGTCACGGCGAAGGAGCCCTAGTCGTGGTGTTCCCATTTTATGACTGGAGCTTCATAGGTGATACTTAGTTTGGTGTAAACATGGTAAATGCCATGAGGCTGGATTTGGACCAAAGGCCCATCAGAGCCAGCTCTCTGCCTTGTGGCAGCATTCTTCATCCAAGAGTGCCCTTGCAGAGCAGTGCCTACCTTTCTCATGGGCAGGAGTCAAAAACCTGTGCAGCCAGTTTGCCATCAGAACAATCCTTTGAATTGCTTAATGGGCAGTAGCCAGTTCGAGAGTAGCGCTAACATAACACTACACTGCACGACTGTCAGTGCCCTCCAGCACAATGCCCGTAGCATGTGCTGATGCAGCGTGTTTCCCAGCAAAACCTGCCACACCAACTACTTGCAACTTCTGGATTGGATACTGGCCTTTGCACTGTAGGGTGTCATTGTGCCGGCAAACAGAGTCAGCCCAAACAATCTGCACTATCTTTCGAGTGGCTCCTTCTCTCCGTGTCAAGGAGAGGCTTGGGTTTGTGTTCCCAGAACAGCCAGCTTTCTTTGCTGTGTGCATTGCTGCTTTTTAAAAAGCCATGTGTCGCAGATCGCACTGGGAATGCCCAAGCCCAGGGGCATGGCCACTATTTGGCTGCTGGTCTACCATGAGCCACACCAAAGTTACCTGAAGAATCAGATAAGCTACTGGGCCACAACCAAAGCTTCAAGCTGATTTAGCTTAATTACATGTCTTACCGGAATAACGCTTTTAATTTTGTTTTCATACTGCAGTGGTCCAGACGGCCAAGAATGAAGAGATTCCGGTGATTTCTACGCAATCCTTGAAGCAGCAGTTTGAAAAAACAACACAGGGAAAGCTGTTTCATTCTGACCAGGAGAGTGGAACACCTGCAAAGCAGATCAAGGTCAGTGGTATGAAAAGGAGGCGAATACTAAATCATTAACAAAACATTTTTCTGAGTTGCAGTAGCTGTACATTCTGAGTACTCATAGTTGATTCATTCATTTAGATTCCTATTGCAATGCAATTTTCAGTCAAATCCAGATGGGTTTGGTAAGTGGGTGATTTATGCTCCAGTTCCTTGGGGGTTAACTTTGGATTAGCAGGGTAAGCCGTGGTCTGTCCAAAAGAGCAGTGGTCAATGGGACCACGGTGTTTATGTAGGGGAAGCTGTGCTAACATGAATGACCTCTGGCGCAATGCCAATAGTGTAAGCCATCACAATTGGTTTCCTGGAAAAACTTAAGCTATTAACATTGAACTAGGGGTCACTTCTACTAGTGCTGCATCAGTCACATAAGCACGGTGAGCCCTTCAGATCATGCCCAAAGTTCCTTCTGATCTCCGGCAAGCAGGACAGAACCTGCCCACTGTTCTCCCCACCAAGTCCTTGCAGCAAAGGAGCAATGAGGCTGGTTGGCACCGACTTCCCTTTGACTGCAGAGGCTGCTGAGAGGCTTTGAGGCAGGATGAGCAGTGGCAGGCCAGGACTGTATTCCTGTGCTCCTTTCTACCTGTTAGGACCTCGTGCCAGGGGAAGCACCATCCCATGAACTGCCTGCCTTACTCGGTTGACCAGTTTGCAGGATAAATTGCATTTCACAGAAAGCATCTTGAATATTGTAATGTTCTTTGATGCAGCCATCTGTAGGGACGGTGTTAGTCATCCGGATGCCCTCCTTTTGTTTCGTTAGATCCTGGTGCCCTCACTGCACTTTCTGTGTTCTATTTCCAATTCTTATAAAAAAGTGAGAACTCATGATTGCTTCATCTGTTAATATAAGATAAAAGCTGACCCTATCGAGATTGCCTAAGAATGGCATAAGCACATATTGTAGTGCAGAGAAATGAAACGAGATGACTTGACTCCAGAAAGGACCCCTCAGCCTGGAATTTGCAAGAGCGCAGCAGGGCTGTCACAGGCAGGACGTTCTGGATGGCTTTCATTCACAGGGTCGCCATAGGTCAAAGACAACTTGACAGCACATAACATCAGAGCAGCGACAGATAAGTGAAACATTAGAGGTGTAAGCTGGTTGATGTCAATCGGGAGAGCTATGGATGAGTTACATCATATTTCACGGGGCACATTAAATCACTTCGTATTATTTTGGGTTACTGAGGAATACGATTTTCATTGAAAACTCCTGTTGCTTAGCTCTTTGCAGGACTGAGTCAACTGTACTGTATGAATGCTAAAATATGGCCTGGAAAATAGTTTTAAAATGCTAATTTTATCCCCTAAAGCTTGAAAATGCATACCAAGACATGAACTGGTCTTCTGCAGTCTTTTCCTCCTCTGCCGAATCTGCTTCTTCCAGTAGACAACAGGAAGTGTATATGGCAAAGAAAACGGAATATGTACCTGCTGGTTCTGCTGCAGCCTATGGCAACCGTTCTAAGTGTGGGAGTATGGAGGAATGTCCTCCCCTGCCACCACCAGACTTATTGCAGGCTCCATCTGAATTGACAGGGTTTTCCCAGTCCCCTGAACCCTCTCCCTCTCCATCAAGGCAACCTCTCCCCAAAGATTTGTATTCTAAGCAAAGAAATCTTTATGAATTAAAGCGTTTGTACAAGCACATTCACCCAGAATTGAGGAAAAATTTAGAAAAAGATTACTACAATGATGTTTCTGAGATAGTCTCTAGTAGTGACACTGAAATAGGTAGCTCAGTAGCAGGAGATGTACGTCAGGTTAGGTATGTCTTTGAAAATGCAGACAACAGCCCACAAAAATGCATGAGCCCAGAAAGAGAGTATTTGGAATGGGATGAAATCCTCAAGGGAGAGGTCCAGTCTATGAGGTGGATCTTTGAGAATCAGCCTCTGGATTCAATCAAAGATGAATCCCCTGACCCAAATGATACTAAAAGCATTGCAGATCAAGAAATCATTGCCGGTGGAGATGTGAAGTACACGACTTGGATGTTTGAAACACAGCCCATGGATGCATTGGGTACACATTCTCCAGGCAACATGGAAGGAGGAGACAAAATTCCAGATCTGGCTCGAGGAGATGTCCGCACAGCTACTTGGATGTTCGAAACTCAGCCACTGGACTCAATGAATAAAATTCACTGTGAGAAAGACCAAGAATCCAGTGAGACTTTAATCAAGGAAATCACTGGTGGAGACGTCAAAACAGTGAGGTACATGTTTGAAACCCAGCAACTGGATAGTCTTGGACAGCTTTACTCAGTGGATGAAGCTAAGTTGCTGCAGCTCAGATCTGAACTAAAGGAGATTAAAGGGGATGTGAAAAGATGCATACGGCATTTTGAAACTCTACCAATGTATGTCATTAGAAATAATTTAGGCCAAATGCTGGAGATTAAAACAGTCCACAGAGAGGATCTTGAGAGAGGAGATGTCAGGACAGTACGCTGGATGTTTGAAACTCAACCTCTAGACACAATAAACAAAGACTCTCTGGAAATAAAACTTGTTCGAGGAATCTCTATGGAAGAAAACATCAAAGGAGAAGTGGGCAGAGCAAAATGGTTATTTGAAACCCAGCCATTGGATACTATTAAAGAGGACTCTGCAGAATCTGTTGTAGAAAAAGAAGTCATTCTGGGCACTGATGTTGGCAGAAAATGTTGGCTTTTTGAGACTCAGCCTCTGGATGCCCTAAAAGAAAGTGAAGATACAGATCTTTTACCCACAGAAGAAATAATAGGAGGGGATGTAAATGCCGCTAAACATTTATTTGAAACATTGCCAATGGATATGCTAAAAGACAGCCCAGATGTTGGAAAGCTTCAAAAAATGGTTGCCACCGATGAAGAAAAAGGGGATGTGAGGCATCAGAAATTAATTTTTGAAACTCAGCCTCTGGAACAGATCAGAGAGGAAAGAAAAGAATTCATTAGGACTGTGAAACTTGAGGAAATTGACAGGGGGGATGTGCGCAGCTGTAAACATGCATTTGAAACATGCTGTTTAAGTAAACATGATGACTCTCATAAAATTCTCATTGAAGGTGTAACGAGAGGTGCAGTCAAATTAAATAAAGCTGTTTTTGAGACAACTCCATTGTATGCAATCCAGGATAGCCTTGGGAAGTACCATGAAGTTAAAACAATTCGACAAGAAGAGGTTGTAAGAGGCAATGTCAGAAACTGCAGGTGGCTCTTTGAAACGAGGCCCATTGACCAATTTGACAAGAGTATTGAAAAAATCGAAATTATCAAAGGGATATCTTCGCAAGAAGTACAATCAGGCAATGTGAAAACAGCCAAATGGCTATTTGAAACTCAGCCTCTTGACTCTATTAAATATTTCAATAACGTGGAAGATGAAGAAAGCAAGGAACAGGACGAGACAACGGAGATTGTCAAAGGGGATGTAAAAACATGCAGGTGGCTATTTGAAACTCAGCCAATGGAATCCCTGTATGACAAAGAGGAGGCTGTGACAGATGCTGAAGAGATACGGAAAGGAGACGTCAAATCCTGTACCCTGCTTTTTGAAACCCGGCCTCTTGATGCAATAGGGGAAGAATCAGAAGCATCTATAAAACAACATACAGTGGACCAGGAAGACATTCTGGGCAGTGACGTCCGTACAGCGTGTTTCATTTTTGAGACTGAAAAGCTAGAAAATATACAAGGAGAAGAAGACAAAGAACTGAACCGAATTGTGGAAATTGATATTCAGCCTGGAGATGTCTCAACAATGAAATATAAATTTGAGAACCAATCCTTAGACTCAATAAATTCCAGCTCAGAGGAAGTCTTGAACAAAATTAAAACCATACAAAGAGAAGATATACAGAAGGGGGATGTTTTGCACTGTTGCTGGCTTTTTGAGAATCAGTCCCTGGATGAGTTGACCGAGCACCATGGAGACAGGACCTCCATGAAAACTGTAACAGACATTCAGGGTGGAAATGTGAGAAAGGGCTGCTTTATCTTTGAAACATTTTCTTTGGACCAGATTAAAGAGGAATCTTCTGTAGATGCAGAAAGCACCAAGAGAACTATTAGTGAAGAAGAAATAACAAAAGGGGATGTGAAAACCTACAGAATGCTCTTTGAGACCCAGCCACTCTATGCAATCCAAGACAAAGAAGGGTATTATCACGAAGTGACTACTGTTAAGAAAGAAGAAGTGATTCATGGAGATGTACGTGGAACACGGTGGCTGTTTGAAACTAAGCCTCTAGAATCAATAAACAAATCAGATAATGTATATGTTATAAAATCAGTCACCCAGGAAGATATTCAGAAAGGAGATGTTAGCTCAGTCAGATACCGATTTGAAACACAACCACTGGACACCATTTCAGATGAGGAAAAAATCATTGTTCCAACAGTTGACAGTGTACAGGGCGGTGATGTAAAAGCCAACAAGAAATTATTTGAATCTGAAGAAACCCAAGGAGGCAGGTATGTAAGAACCGTGAGTGTCAGTGAACTACAGCAAGGCAATGTTAGAACATCCACATGGTTGTTTGAAACACATACCATTGATGAAATTAGAGGAGAGGGGTCAGAGTATGAAGGTATCAAGACAGTAACAAAGGAAGATGTGCCAAAAGGTGATGTTCAGAATGCAGTCTGGCTTTTTGAAAACCAGCCCCTGGACTCCATTAAGGAAACTGATGAAAGTGGTACAAAACTAGAGAAAGAAAAGATTCCACCGGCAGATGTAAAGACCACGACGTGGCTTTTTGAAACAACTCCTTTCCATGAATTCAGTGAAAGTAAGGTTGAGAAGGAAGAAATCATAGGGAAAAGTGTGAAAGAAACTTTAAAGGAACTTTACAGTCATAGAGTTGTAGAATCTCATGGAATTATTTTGGAGGCAGATGAAATCGGAGATGTCCGAATGGCAAAGTATAAGCTGATGAATCAGGAGCCTCCTGAAATACAAAAAGAAGAGATTATTAGAGGGGATCTAGCCAATATCATGCTGAACTTGTTGTCCAAACCAAGCACTGTTGAAAGGGAAATAAAAGTAAATGAAGATGAAAAGGGCAATGTGAATTTGACCAAACAGCAATTGTTGAACAGATCAACAGACGTACACGTTGAAAAGGAAGAGGTGGTGAAAGGTGATATACAGCTAGCAATAAACAACCTGCTTAAGAAGGATAGCTCTGCAACGCATGGAATTTTAATTCAGGAAAATGAGAGAGGTGATATTAACATGACAGTCTATTCTCTCTTTCACAAAGAGCAGAACAATAAAATTGAGCAGGATGATGTTATAGGTGGTGATGTGAAGCGTACAATTCACAGCCTTCTCTCCTCTGTGATGAATAATGCAATACCAGTCAGACCTAAAATAGATGATTCAGAAAGGGGCAATGTTCAGTTCTTTACAACATGCATAGAAGCTGGGGCTCTGGATTATTTGAAACAGCTCCAGACAGGGACAAATGAAACATTAGCAAGAAGGAATCGAGAAGAGGAGGAGGAAATAATTGGGGGCGATGTGGAAGGCACAAAACTGTTACTTAAGAAAAAGAAGTCTCAAATTCACCGGACAGTTAATGAAACTGACATCATCCCTGGGGACGTGTGTAATGCAGTTAAGATCTTTATGACTGAGCCGCAAAATACATCTTGTCATGTATGCAAAGAAGAAATTATAAAGGGTGATTTGAAGGCAGCTCTATATTCCCTCAGTCAGGCCATAAATCAAACAACTGTTACAGAGAAAGAAGAAATTATAAAAGCTGACATCCTTGCAATCCTGAGGTCTCTTCAAGAATCTGCTCATCACCTGAAAGAAACAGAAAAACCTGATGTTATCCCTGGTGATATTAAGCAGGCTATTGAGTCTCTGGAGAAAGCAATCCACTCAAAAGATAAAGTCCTGAGAGAAGGTGTGGTTCGAGATGACCTTGACTCCACACTGAAGTTGCTACAAGCAGCTCAGCAGTCTTTCAAGACAGTCAGTAGAGAAGAAATCACCAGAGAAGGGAGCTTACTGGAAGCTTCTGCAAAAAGAGAAGCAGTACAGCACCAAGCAGGCACCCAGAGAGATCAGGAGAAAACCAACAAGATGCACTTCAGGCCAACTCAAACACTAGCCAAGAATGAAGTTAATGCGACTGAACATTTACAAAATAGTATTGCAAATCATCAGGAACATCTTGGAGGGATGCAGTTTGAAAAGAAGAACATCACTGCTGAAGAGACCAGAGCAATCCGTCTGGATCAGAGGCAGAGCACCAAGGCACATGAGGCAGATAAGAGAAATATGAGGCATTCATCGAATTCCCAGGGCGAGATCTTTGGAAAAGCAGAAAGGTCTGTGGATGAAGTCAGATTCCAGAACTTTGCCAAGAGAGAAGCAAAGAGTCATACTGACCAATATGTGAGTGATCAATCTGCTGCTGTTTGTAGGAATGTTCAGAAGAAAGAGGCAAGCAAAATACTGAGGAAAGACAGTCTATCTAGTGTTGAACAGTCTGCAAAACAAACTACTGGAAAGAAGCAAATTGTGTTTCAGGAATCTAAAGAAGAATATTTGGGCATGAAGCATCAGGGGGAATTGAAAGAAAAATCAACCCTATCCACGTACGATCGCAATTCCCATCGCAGAGGAGCAGAGCAACTGGTCAACAGGTCAGCTGGCATGATTTCCAAAGCAGCTGGTCATTTTCAAACACTGGAGGTACAGCAAGATAAAAAACAGTCTCAGCATCCCAAGGAGGTTTGCAAAGAAATGAAAAATAATGTTAAGGCAAGCCAATGTAAGGTTTCCATGGCATCGGAACAGAATATAAAAACTAATCAAAAAGTCAGCGTCACACAAGAAATGTACAGTCAGTTTAAAGAAGCTGAAAAGAAGCAAAAGTGTAGCATTGTCCAGCAAAATGAGAAATCCATGTTGCGCTTCAGAGGAAAGGCTACAGGGGACACCGCTAAGCCAAACCCCATGAATCCAGCCAAAAACCCTAGGGGTGCAGGCAGGCCAGAAATTGATTCGCCACCCCCTCCTCCTCCTCCTCCACCACCACCACCAGCTTTAGACGTTTCCCCTGACAATGACTTGCCTCTGCCACCGCCACCGCCTCCTCTCACTCACCTAATGCTGGCTTCTGACATCCAAGAGTTTCCTTCCCCTCCACCACCAATAGGACAGGCCAAAATGGAGTTAGAGCATTTCCCTCCGCCCCCACCCCCACCAGAAGACAAAGATGAGCATGGATTTGCAGCTACTTGGATCCCACTGCCTCCTTCTCAGCCCAAACAGAGGAAAGAACCTTTTCTCAAAGAATTAGAGAAAGTTTTGCAACCATCCCTTCATCCTCATGTCGGCACTAAACTGGGCAGGGCACCATATCTCAAGAAACATCCGCAGGTTGACTCTGAAAAAGAGTTAGAAGCCATCCAGCCAAATAGAGGACAGAAGATCCAACCAAGTATTGTTCAGATGCAGCAAGTGAACAATATGGGAAAAACTGTGGAGCAGAGAACAGAGAACACCATGATGCAGAACACGGTTAGCTATGAAAAGAAAAAGGATCAGGTCTGCACAAAAATGGAAGAAAGTAGAAGGTCCTCATCAGTTATGGAAGCTGTCAACCCAGATACGGCACCAATAAAGAAAACAAGCGCATCTCCACTTATTAGGTCACCTTCCCTTCCAGCAGAATCCACACAAATGAAGCCTAAGCCATATGCACGGAAATTTAAAACCCCTTTAATGATTGCAGAGGAAAAATTCAGGCAGCAAAGGGAAGAGCTGGAGCAAAAGCAAGCCAAGGATGTCCATCACCTGTTGACGAGAAGAAACAGTGAGACAGGGGGAAGTTCCCTCCAGGCAGCTTCAGAGAACCTGCCAGTCCTAAAACCAGGTGAACAACTTCCCACCCCCCTGCAAGGCCCATCACCTCCTGAAGCTCCAGGTATGTCCTCCGAGCCTGAATGTCAGGTGAAGCCACACGTTGTGGGATTGCAGAGCGATAAACACCCACCTACGCCCAACACAGTGATGCCTGCACCATCCCCAAACACTTTTACAATCTCTGCAGAAGAGCACATTAGGAAAAAAGCTGTCCATGATTCACGCAATCTTAAAAAGCACTCCATTTCTTCTCAGAAGGTAGAGACCCAGAAAGAACATATATACAATAAAGAGCAGCACCAAAATGAGGAGCATTTGTTTTTGTCAAAAAATAAAACCGCATCCCCTACTTTCAAAGTTAAAACCATCAAGCTTCCTGCTTTAGATCAAAGCATACATGAAACCCACAAGGATTCTGTGACACACAAAAAGCAAGAGGCAATTAGCATCCAGAATATTGTGAAGCAACACGATCAAGAAAAGCAGAAGGAAATTATAAACAATTCTGCTAGAAAAAAGCCAAGCACTATAAAGGCAAATAATTGCATGAATGTTGGTGAGAAAATGCACATGGAAAAAACATTTTTAAAACACACAGAAGGCAAGCAAGAAGTAAATGACACAGAATCCAGTGAAGTGAAGCAAAGGTTAGTTCAAAGGAAGGAAATGGAGAAAGAAGAAATGAAGCAAGAAAGGGCTGCTTTGGCTATGAAACAACAGCACAGGCAGGTAATTGCTTGCCCTAAAGTAGAGAAGGTAATAATACAAAGAAAACAAGAAGAGGTTGGCAATAAATCAGAGAAAATGGTCAAGCAAAAGATAATTGACATACATCACGAGTCACAGACTTTGACTTCTGAACAAGAGAAGAATCTTATTTCAGAGACAAACATCAAAAACAAAAGACTGTCCCAACAAAGCAGTACTCTGCAGGGAGGAGAATGTGCAAGGGAACAGATAACGCAACAGAAAAAGGGCTTTCTTAAGACAACGGAGACCAAACAAGAGCTCACACCAAAAAATAAATTATCACCTGGTTCACTGAGGGGATTGCCAAAGAATGATAAAAAAAGCTCTCCAGACATCTTGGTTTTCTTGCGGAAACGTGAGGAGGTACAGCAGGTATTGTCCAGGCTGAAAGAGTTTGAAACGGAGCCAAATAAAAATGGAATCAAGACATTTCAGATGTTCCTCAATATTATTCCAGACTGGCTGATAGAACAAGAAAAGAAGCAAAGCTTAGCTTACATTGCCCAGGACAATAATGTAGAAAAGATGAAAGAAGAATTATCAGCTATTAAAGAGCAAGCATCAAAAATACTGGAATCATGTGAAGATGCCATCCAGACAGTCATGATTTCCACAAAGCCCCTGAAATCTGGAAAAGACTCTCTTAAAGTTGGAGGATCCTCCCAGAAAATAGCTAAAATAAGCATTGGCTCTAGCAGGAGAGATTCACAGAAGACGAAAGAGATTATCAAAGGCACGATGGCACATCAAGAAATAAAGCAGCATGTGAGAGCACACAGTTGCTCAGAAATCAAAACTTCACCATCCTTAAGAATGCGAGCACCCTCACCAACTTACATTACCATTGAGTCGAGGCGCATCGAATCCCCTTTCAGGGACATCTCATCGCCTGTCCAAAGGGAAAGCACTCCCGTTCCTCCATCACCCCCTCCCCAGCCTGCCACCCCGACATTGAAGCTACAGCGGCCAGCTGTGAGCCCCTCTCCATCCCCTCCAAGGAGCCGTTCCGAGCAACTTGCCAAACTTAAAGACACTACAGTAAAACTGTCCCAAGGAGCAACACAAAATCGATCGGTAACCCCAATAGCTATTGTGGAAAAGAGGTCAGAAATCGTTAAGTCTCCTGCGACTCTTCGTCGACAAATCAAGATTGAAACACGGCAATCTGATGTTTCATCTTCAAAAATGTCAGCTGTAAATGAATCACATGGAACTGCTGGGACAGCGAAGCAGATGAAAGAAACCCACGAGGAATCCGAAGCAAGCAAAATGTATCTCTCCAAAAAGAGAGGAAATATTCCAGAAGGCTTCGAGCCATGTGGACAGAAATTAGACCCTATTTCCATTACTCAGACATTTGAGGTTCGTAAGGCTAATCCTAAAGGGCTAGTGCATAGGTTTGAAACATCTGAGCAGACGATTCACATAAGGAGGGAACCAGATGTTCCTGAAAGATTGGGCAATGAGAATAAGGATAAAACAGATTTAATGGCAGGGGCATTTAATGATAAGCAAACAGCAGAGGCAAAATCCAAGAAAGGGTATGTTGAAAATGGTGTTATTAGTGGCAAAAAAAGGGAAGGAAGGCACAGGGTCAGAAAGGATGAATTTGGTAAAATTTCTCAAGAGAGTGAAGAGCAAAAAGACTTCCAAAAGTCTCCAGGCAAGTGGCAAAGAGAACCGCAGCAAAAGCAATGTGCTCTTAAAGAGCATTCACTCGAGCCCATGGTGTGCTTTGATGCAACTTCTCGCAGCACATGCGCTTCCGGCCTGGACTCCTTTGAGAACACCGTGGTTGAATCAAGAACCAGCACCTCCACGTCACAAGGTGTGGATGGGATGCAGTCAGGAGGATTTGGCTTCAAACGGGCTCCGCCTACGTATGAGGATGTGATCTCAGGGCACATCTTGGATATTTCTGCTGCTGATACACCAGAAGAACTGCTGAGGAATTTCCACAAGACTTGGCAAGAAAGTGAGAGAGTGTTTAAAAGTCTTGGCTACACCATGTCAGAAGCTGCTGAGGCAGAAGTGAGAAGCAGCTTCCACGAGGAGGCAGAGTTTATAAGTGGTAAATACGCATGCGAGGTGTGGAGAAACTTTTGTACAGCTCCAAAGAGCACAACACCACGGCAATAAAACTGGGTTGCGCTATTAATATGCAATCCGCAGGCTGAAGTGGCTTAACTCCAACAAGTAATGTCTTTGCCTGTCCCTTCCCGTTCCCCTTCCCTCTCCCCTTTCCCCCTTTTGGCTTTCCCCTTTCCCCCTTCCCACTTCCCCTTTCCCTCTTTCCCTCTTTCCCTCTGAAAACTTTATTCTTCCCCTTCCAAAGGCACGCACCTTAATAGTTGTGCTGAGCATGTGACTAACAAGCCCTGTGAGAGTTTCAGGTCTAACAAAGGTAAATGCTGTGTTTTAGTGATGAAAACATTTTTCTGAGCACTAAATGGAAAGTGAAAAAGTTAACCATTCACCAAATTAGTGTTTGGGTAGTTTTGTTGTTTTCTTAATCTAAAGAGTGTGGTGGTGGAGTTTTGGCACATTAACTGGATGAAGACTTTTGGCTTTGCATGGTGTGCGTATACCATACAATGTGATCTTGCATATGTTTATCCCCATCTATTTTCAAATGGCTATTGAATCAGTAAGGTGTGCTCATAGTGGATGCATCGATGCAAATTCAGATTATTTTGTGTATAGTAGTATTAAGTATAGAACTTTTACAGTGCAGTTCTACACGTGTCTGCTCAAAAGTCAGTCTCCCTGAATTTCCGCAGGCTTGCTCCTGGACAAGTTCGTACAGGATTAAAGAGCCTTAAAGAGATTTATAACCCAATCCTAAGCATGTCAGAAGACAGATTCATTATGCACAATGGGATTTATTCCCATCAACTGTGCATGGAACTGTAGGCAGAAAGGAAAACTACATCATCAAACATTGCATGAATGTTGTGGGGGACGGTTTAATATGTGTGTGCTCAAAAATGATCTTTTTTTCCCCCTTGGTCCCAGAACTGGAAAGGCACTATTATTTGCATTGATAGAACTATCTCATTCATACTGTGGCAATTATTTGTTATACAAAGGGAGTATCTTAAGACCCTAAAGGCAATGAAAGTGAAAGGAGGTTATAGATGTAGGAGAAGCCACAACTGCAGAACCTCTGGATTTTTGTACCTGTTTCTTTAAGGGAAATTGCAAAACCCAAATGATTGTTTGGATCCCAAGGACTGCCAAAGCAAAAAGAAGTGCAAGAAGGGGAATATCCTTCTTGTACCATCTACTCCACTAAAGTCTATCAGGAAAAGGGGAATTTCCCAGGTATGGAAGCCTCCTGAATGGTATTGGATGGTATGCAGGAGGCTGAAGAAGGAAAAGAAACTTGGCCAAGAAAAAGAAAAAAATAGGGGTACCTTCCAGCAGCCAGATGCCAAGTGCGCCATCTGGGAAGAAACATTGGGCAGGCCAGCAACTAAGAGACAAGGAAGGAGGGCAGTATCATCAGCTAGTCTTTCCCTCCTGCTTTCAGGTTCCAAAAACTCCTCAAGACCATCCTCGGAATGCAGCTCCTTTACTGTAACTCCACAGTCAGTCAATGGCCTTTTGCCAAAGCTTGAAGGAGAAGCCTCTGCTCATGTAAAAAGTTGAATCCAAGCTGGAAACTTCTCTTCAGTCCCTCCCTTCCAGTAAGGCTGCTGGCTCCACCCTTGGGGGTTCCCACTATTGGAAAGTTAGGTGGAGGGAGCTACGGAGCCACTCCAGCTGAGCAGCTTGCCCCAAGGCCTCCTTACTGGATCAAAGACTGGGTCCTGCATATGCTGCCCCTCCCCTCTGGAAGACCCCTCTGACCCTTTTGCTACAGAATGATGTTCACGCTCAGTGTGAGAAGCTTCACGGAACAGCCTTGAAGGAGCTTCAGAGGGTTCAGCCCTGCTTGCTCCTCCTCCTCCTCCTCCTCCTCCTCCTCCTCCTCCACCACCACCACCACCACCACCACCACTTCAGAACCTGATGAAGGCTCCTGCTGCGCTCCCTGCAGCCAGCATCCCCAAGCAGCATTGTGGGGCAGAGGTCAGGGCCCAGTAAGACCCATGCCTGCCCAGGAGCTCCTTCAGCCTTTTCTCCAGGCAGCCACCCTTTTGATTTCCCGCAATGACCTCCATGTAGTCTTGCTCTGGGGAACTGTAGGAAAATGAAAGGGGCATCCCTCTGCTAGGGAGGACAGCCTTTGCATGGAGGCGGCCCATAACAGGGACTGGATGCCCTGAGCCCCCTCAAGGCTAGAACTGGCCTTGCAGGCCACAGAAAGAAGTAGCAAGAAACTGAGACTCTGGAGGGGGGAAATGCATGTGAGGAACAACCCCATTGACTGTTCCCTCAATGCTCATAAGACCCCAAACTCAGAGGCTGATGCGGAATCCAGTGCAGAATGCAAGGAGAGCAAAGACGTCCTCACCACCCTGTCCTTCCTGCTCTGCATTTTAGCTAGATGCTCAAGTCAGGCTCTGGAGCATCGCTAGGATGTGTTGCACCCTGGCCTCCCCATGCTCCTCCCCTCCCTGCTCCCTTGAGCAGCCCCATAACTCAACCTCTGGGACTGATTTCCCTTCCCTCAGCCTTGAAGAGGAAGCTGGCGTGGTTCTTTCCATGCCAGCTGCAGGTGGCCAGGAAGGTCAGAGTGCAGTTTTATAACTCTGAGATCAGAGGTGTGTTTCCAGACAGAGATCTGAGAGCTCAAAGCATCCAGTGATGTCTACAGCCATACGCTCGCTTTCTTTGTGACTGAGAATCAACAGTTAGCAAAATGATATGCATCTCTTTCACCTCCCCAGATACAGAGCCATGCAGGCTTGTTAATAAGAATGTAAGAGTTGTTTGATTTAATTTAATGTTTATATACTTCTCTACAATAAAACAAGCATCAAAAGCATATTGATAACATCTCAGTCATTATATCAAGAGTACCACATATAAACGCAAGAACAATTCAAATTCAGTCAAATATAAACAGAGCAATATAAAAACAGCAGTAACTGATAATTACTTCAAATAAACTATGCTTACCGTATAGGCATTTCTATTTAAGTAGCTTTCCAAAAAACAAAACAGCAGCAGGACATTATGAACAATCACAGCCTAAATGTAATTGCAGTTAAATACAGTGGGGCCCAAGTAAAATGTTTGTTGTGCTCAACCCAGACGGGCCGTGCCACAAACCAGCCCCTCTCGTCACTCCAAGGCCACCTTGCAAAGCCAGCTGCCATCTAGGCTGGAACTTCGTCTACATTTTCCTCTAGAAGAGGCTGGAGGTGGAGCTGCTCAGCTGGTCTCCTGCAGCCCTGGGAGGAACACATGCCTTGCAACCCACAAAGGGCCCTGCTGAATCAGACTAGCCGGCTGCCTGGTCCAGCTGTCAGCCAAGCCCCACGGTGGCAAGTCCACACGCAGGGCCCCAGCACCCTCCTCTTGTGTCTCACAACACCTGGTGGGAAGGCACACAGCCCTTCTCCTACTGGAGGTGATGCACTGCCAACGCAACTAGTGACTGTCAATAACACCATCTGTCAAGAGTTTGTCAAATTCCCTTTTAAAGGCATTCCAGTTGTCAGAGAGTCCCGTCCCCTATGAAGGGTGAACTTTGCTGTCATAGGTCTGATCCAGCAGAGTAGATAAATTAGTGGAGGGCAAATTGTTGTTCTGCCCTCAACAATTAAAATGTCTTGGTTATTGATCAACACCGTTGCTTCAGTCAGTTTAAAAATGTATGATCTTCTGCCGGTAAAAAGCCCTCCATGGAAGTACTTCCAGTGTAAGCGTGAAGGGGAAGCATTGAGGTGATGTGGGCGAGCCGTGCAGGGAGAACTGTGTAAGTTTCTGCAGTGAAAAATCTAGAAATGGAATGCATGAATCACTCATACATCCTCTTTCCCCTTTTCCTTTTGAAATCATAAAATATGCTCCACTTCTTCAAGTACACAGATGGGTGCAGTCCCCCATGGAAGGAGCACAGGTTTCATTGCAACGTTAAGTTTATTTGGTCATTTAAACTGCAGGTTTCAGTGGTAAATAGTGGCAAACCAAACCTTTCAGCTTCTTTACTGATGAGGAAGGACTTTGACAGAAGAAAATAATGACATGTAAAACTGGCACGCTGTCTTGTTTATTTCTAGAAACTGCAACTTCAGGGAAAGGAAACATGCCTACTTTGTCAAAAGAGAGTTTATCCAATGGAGTCCTTGGTTGCAGACAAGCAGACTTTTCATAAATCGTGTTTCCGATGTCACCACTGTGATAGTAAATTAAGGTAAGGTGAAGTAAACAATTAAAGCTTTGGTGTGCAACTGTTGTCAGCTGCTGGCATCTCGTTTTGTTTGAGCAACACCAAAGTAGTGGATCAAAAGTCGTTAAGGGTTTCCTGCTGAACTCTGTCCTTGGCACGTCCCCATATGACAGGCCACTTAGGTTCTTTCTCTGTGGACATTGCCATCTAAGGGGAAAAATATTGGCCTTCCATATTTAAACTCTGTCATTGCTGGATGACAATTGTGATATAACTCTTGGAACTGGAATCAAAGTGGCAAGTTTGGCTATGTTTGCAGTGTCAGCGCACACGGATGCAAAGTAGGAATGATACCTGTGGCTGAACAGTGAAGGAAATGTCACCTGTAATGACTCAGGAAAGGGCTTACCTCAGGTGGGGAGAGAAGGACTTCAGGGGCACTCTGATGCTTGAAGCTCCTCCTCTCACTATCCCATCTTCCTCTTCCCTATATAGGATTGCCAACTGACCTTCCACACATTGGGATGGGGAGGATGCTGCTTTTTGTGCTTCTGCTTTGCACCATGTTCTGCCTGTACTATTGGGGAAGAGCCCATTCTAACTGCAGCCTTCTAAAATAATTGATTACATTTAAATGGCTTCAAATCACATTTTCTTGTAGGTGCCATAACTTTTTTTAACAGTTGGCAACTACATATGTTCATCCCAATGAAAAGATAAACAATGAAAAGAAAATGAGTAAATGTTCATGTATTAATAGAATTAATATTTAAAATATTGACTAGTATTCAAAATATTACAGAAGGAAAGGCATCATGTTTTTTAAATGATTTTTTGATCTGCTCTACAGCACTTTCAAAAAATGCAAATGCTATTTTGTGAACATTTCAATGTTTCTTTTGAAATCAAAGGATACAGTCTGCCCAGTTCTGGCTCTTAGCCAATGCTATTTATTCTTCTGGGTGTTGTAAATTAAATTAAATGTATTTGTTATTTCTTTTCAGAAATGCTATAAGTTAAGCTTGTATTTATAGACACTGTTATTTATAGGTACTTAAAATGTCAGCTAAAATTGAATATTCTTGGAGCATTTGTGATTGATAGATAGATGCCATAAAACATTTTATCTTTGATTTGTCAGCTTGGGAAATTATGCTTCTCTCCATGGAAAAATATACTGCAAACCCCATTTTAAGCAACTTTTCAAATCCAAAGGAAATTATGACGAAGGTTTTGGACACAAGCAACACAAAGAATTATGGATTACCAAATATCAAAAAGGTCCCATTGGCTCAGTTCCTGCTAAAGAAGTTAATCTGTCTGCATCAAAAGTGGATAAACCAAGTCAGGAAGTTCCTTGTAAATCTTCAAGTGATAACTTAAAGCAAAACACAGAGAGGGGCAAATTAAACATTACTTGGCCTCCTTCTAGGGAAACACCCAAAAAATCATTCTCTGTAGAGGAAGAGGTTAAAGTTACTAAGCCAAAATGGCCCCCTGAGCTTCCTGATCAAGAGGCTACCAGAAATTGTACAAATCTATCCATGGGTGACAGAAACCAGCATCAGCTAGCAAACAATCTTTGGGAGACTGAAGAGCAAAAGAAGGATGAGCGTGTTGACTCGCAATCAATTGACCAGTCCCCTCCCACGCCTTTGTCTAAGGGAAAGGAACCTACAAATACTCGAACAAAGTCAAATGAAACGGGGGGAAAGGGGGGGAAAGGAAACATACAAGTGAAAATGAACGATGCTGAAGAATCAGAAAAGGAAAAAGCAAGTGATAAGAATGTGACAGAAAGTGATAGTGCCGTCAACCCAGGTGTCAAAAAGGAGAAAGATGAAAGTCTTAAAGCTGATGTTGTAGAAGTTATACCAGTTTCCAACACTGATGATGAAGCCATATTGCAGAATAATAGAGAGAGCACTTTGCACAATGAAAACAACAACAACAACAACAACAACAACAACAACACTTTTCCACATCAGGATATGTGTAGTCAGGAAGCATCCACTGATGATTTTCACTATCCATTAACGGAATTAACCCATGGAAAAAGCATAGCTTATGAATATTCATTTGAAAGGCTAGAAAGAGACACTGTAAATTCAGAACTGCTCAGTATAACTGACTCTGAAGTGGGCAATTCCTCAGAGGTTTTAAATCTTTCAGGTGTTGGAGAAAACATTAAACAAAAAGGTACCATTACCTCAGACAGTCTTATACAGCATAATAAAGATGCCAGCTGTCAAAAACCATGCCCTAGCAATGTTATCAATTTAAAGGAAGTTGCTAATCCAACATTTCCTTTTGATGGTGAATTACTGGGTACTCAGGAAGCAATCAAACATGTCAAAGAGTTAAACAGTATTTCACCTGGTAACATGGAACAGTTTTCTGTACCTGGAAATGACGACATCACTCTATTTGGCTCTGTAGCCACAAAGAAAGACGTTTACAGTCCACATTCAAAAGGTTGTATGGATTATGATATTAGTATGTGTCACAGGGATGAAATGTTCTGGGAAGGTACAAGGAGATGCTTAGATTTACAGAGCACAAGCTGTAGAGCTCTTCTATCATCTCAAGAAGATCAAGTCCAGATGGAACAGCCAACCACAGCAGAACAAATGAAAAGAAATGGGCAGTGTGATGAAAAGGAATAAATGCAGTTCCACTGACCAAGTTGCATTTGTAATTGACTTGGAAAGAGCTAGTCAAATATGTATGTATCTGTAATTTGTTAAATACACCTTTTTAATCCAATTAACTACCAGATTTTTTAAAGAGCTTAATAGCCTGACACTGTTCCAGAACACTTTCATTTGTACTATAAATTACCAATGTTTCACCTGTATAGCTGAGAAGTGAAGGTGGCTTAAGCTGTGAAGACAAACAACCTTTAGTATCCCTTTTCTTTCTGCATATTAATAGCTATTTTATACATGCATGTACATCTCCTGTTTACTCAGTACGTGATAACTCACTTCTGAAGTTGTAAACTGAAAGGTTACTTTTTGATTTTGGATGTCTGAAGTTTCCATCTGTGGTCTTAGTTCTGGGGTGGGTCCATTTGCACACAGAGCCCACCATTTAGTGTTACCATCAAGTGATGATCTGTGACTCTAACCCTTGAAAACAGGCCACGTTGTGATTCTCTTACCAGTGCACAGTTCCCATTTTATGCTTTATCCATTGTAATAAACTTGGCAATGATGCACCTGGTGTGCTCTAAGGGAAAGACAAATATTTCTAAAGTTATTTTTTCACCTACTGTTTACTGTAAGTAAATGAACTGTCGTTCCATGGTATTGCACATATATTTGCTTTCTTAGCTTATAGCAATAGCACTCTCTCTCTCTTTAAAGGAATATTTAAGTAGGAGTTCTTGATCCAAATAAATTATCAAAATACACCAAAAGTACTGTTCTCAATATTTGGGTATTATGCTCCTCATTTTTTGGTCTTTCTGAAGCATGATATGCCTTTGCATTTTTTTTATTATATAATATGCATTATGCTGCCTGAAAACTAGAAATAAGGAGCATCGTCTGCCTCATGTTAAGCATGATGCATCCCAATCTTCTACTTGCTTCCTTCTGAAGGATGAACTGCTGAGTTAAATGGGACATACTTTGAAGCCAGTGTGCTTGGGATTGTAGACTAAGAGTGCATCCTAGGCATGGCTTCTCAGAACACAGTCCTCTTGAGTTCAGTGGGATCTTCTGCCAGGTATGTAGATCTTGCAGGCTGCAAATTTCTTATAATTCTGGGAGAGAGAATTAAGCTAAATTTCTTCCAGTGAAATCGGTAGGACTTAAACTTGCTTACATTTGGCTGGTTCAAGGTGTGTAAAACTTTAAAGGAAAAAGCCTGAAGGAAGAACATCCTGGAAAATATCCACAGAAACTGTGAGCTGGGGATCTAGTGTTAGTTTACTAAAATATTCCAATGTGATTGGAAAGCAAATCAAGCTCCAGTTCAGTTTTAGAATCTGCATGTACTTAGTCACAATTACCATTTTTGATGCCTGACTTTATATATTGGTTTTCCTAGGGTAACATTAGTTGAGCTTACCTGAAAGCACTTCACTGGGCCATTGAGAAGTCCTAATAAAAAGCACTTTACAAAATGTGGTTTCTTGGTGTATTTTTAAGTCTGATGCTCTTTTTAAAGGGTTTATAATAGCAAATTATTATAACAGTTCTAGAATTACATTAAAATTCTAAAGGACACATGCACACATTAAAGGACAAAATTCTAATGCACACATCAAAATCAAGGCAAATTCCAGCAGAATGTTCAAAAACATTCCTTTCTAGAAATGCTTGCTCATAAGTGAACTAATTTACATGGTAAGATCCTAAAAAAGGTCCTACTGGAGTGGACCAAAGGCCCATCTAGGCCAACATCCTGTTTCCCTCAGTGGCCAATCAGCTGCCCTTGGGAAGCCCACAGGTAAGTTATCAAAGCAGAAGACCTTCTTTGCTGTTCCCCTACAGGCTGCTTCTGAACAGGCATATATCACTTGGCTATCTTGCTCATAAGCCCCCATAGACTGATCCTCCATGAACTTGTCTGATTTCCTTTTAAAGCCAGATAGACCGATGGTCTTCCCTACTGGGCAAGTAAATGTTGTACATTAGTTGTGTGTTGTGTGAAAAGAACTTTCTTCGGCCTGTGCTGGCAAACAGTGCTACTCTGTAGGTTCAGAGGATGGCCCTGAGTTCTAGTCTCAGGGGAAAGGAAGACAGAGGACTCCCTACTCACTTTTCACACATCATTCATAATGATGAAACAAGAATGTCCCAAATGAGAAGGACCCAAGAAATCGATCGCTACTACTCAACTACATAAATGCACAGTCTATAGACTGCACCAGTACAAACTGGTTCTAAATCCATAGTTGGCTCTGACCAGACGTTTGGGATGGTAAAGAGTAGCATCATGTCCATGTGGTGCTACATCACCCATTTGTGGACTGGGTCAGCATATCTGCAGCAGCACCTGCTGGAATCATCAAGAAATGGCAGTTGGATTGTCCATCTGCAAGCATGGCTCCTCATCTTCCTGTGAATGCTCAGCCAGATTCCCCATACATCAACATGCCAGGCTTCCCTAGATCAGGGCACTGGCAGTGCAAGTAATTAAGCTGGGCACAAGAGGCTGATGCTTGAATGTGTTTGAGCAATGATTTCCAATCAGCACCAGAAACATTTGAGAGCCGTGGGTTGCCCAGCCCCTTGCAATGGTTGCTGTGGGCAATTCACTGCAAAGAATCAAGGCAGTAAGCTGTTCGCTTGGTTGGTGAGTGAATTCACAATGCATTTGTCTGATTTCACCTAGGTATGTGAGAAGGCAATGAGAGAAGGAAATAAAAACAGAACATAAACAGAAGGAAAGCATTTCTGCTAGAACTTGTAACAATTCCTTTTGTGCAATACCAGGGTGTGCGCCGCTTCATTCCACACCCCATCCTATGCTTAGTATGAGCCTTAGCTAGCTCATACTGTATTTCCTAGGTTTAGACATAGTCCCTTGTCTTTCTCTTTGCCCCATGCAGACTTGAAAATTAGCACTTGCCTTCTCTCTCATATTGACAGCAAAAGAAATCTACTCTGTTTATAGATGGTACGTAGAGCCAGGGAGGTATGAGTTCACCAACACTCTCTGAACTTTGGAACTTGAATGTGTCCACTCCCATTTTTGTTTGCAATATTTATTTATGTATCTATTTAGGTATTGGTTTGTTCAAAGGGGAAGTGTCGACCCAGGAAAACGCACATTTCCATTTTACAAAAGTGTAGATGCCTCTTCCTTTAACAAATGTATGAAAAGATGTTCATGTGTTTTAAATGGGAATTTCTAACTTTTCTGATGCAATTGGAAGTTCGGGAATACATGAAAAACTTTTTGGAAAAAACATGATGCTGTTCATGTGCATGTTTAGGGTAGCAAATGGGCAAGTGCAGATTGTCTAATAACCCTATTAAGATCAGGGCAAGTTGGCTGGTTTCACAATTGCAAAGAGTTGTTTGCACATGATATGACAAATACAAACCCGAACTCATGCTATGGGTCCTTGGGAGAAAGTTCGAGTCATCAGAGACAAAAAGGGGGTGGGCAGCTGCAAATTCAATGATCTTTCTGTTAAGGGGGAATTGGAGAAATGAAGGTCTCAGGGACATGTGGGAACTGGAAGATCTTCTGGACATGAATTGAGATGAGGCTGTGAACCTAGCAAGTGAGAAACTGTGCATTTTCTCATAACAAAGTCATTGCACCAGTAACAGCAGCCAGATTAAATATCCCATACAAGTCGATGCACTTT